CAGACATGGGGGTGTAACTCTGCTCCCCAGGGCCAGGAGCTGGAAACGGCTGCATGGAATGACAGAACGGRCTGGGAGGGACCTTTAAATGCCACCCAGAATGACACGGTGCCACAGCAGGGACACATCAGGAGCAGTGTGAGTGTGGCTGTGCAGGGAGCTGCTGTCACTGGGGTGCTCCAGGCTCAGCTCCAGCTCCAGGACAGCCCCGTGGGCAGGGACAGCACAGCCCCATGTGGCACACGGCAGCCCCACTGTCCCCCAGATGGCTCTGGGGCTCCATCTGCCCCAGGCTGGCTGTCCCCAGCCCCAGGGGGCTCCTGTGGCCCATCCAGGGCTGTCACCACCCTGCTCCTGCCCCGGGACAGGGCACCAGGGGCCGAGGTGACACGGGGCTTTACCTTCAGGATCTGCACGTAGGGCAGGTTGTCGGGGCCGATCTTGCTGCCGTTCACCTCGATGTGCTTCAGCCACTGGATGTGGGGCTGGGGGTCACTGTACACCTTGCACACAAACTCCACGTTGCTGCCCAGGGCCACYGTCTTGTTGGCGGGCAGCCCTGCCTGCAGGATGGGCCGGTGTGGGGAGCGCTCTGCGGGGACAGAAATGGGGGAACTCGGGATGAGATGTGGGGTAACTCACAGTGAAATGTGGGGTAACTCACAGGGAGGTGTGGGTACCCTCAATGAGGTGTGGGTGACCCCAATGAGGTGTGGGTGCCCCCAATGAGGTGTGGGTGCCCCCAATGAGATGTGGATACCCCCAATGAGGTGTGGATACCCCCAATGAGGTGTGGGTGCCCCCCAATGAGGTGTGGATATTCCTCAATGAGGTCTGGGTGCCCCCAATGAGGTGTGGGTACCCCCAATGAGGTGTGGGTGTCCCCCAATGAGGTGTGGGTGCCCACAATGAGGTGTGGGTACCCCCAATGAGGTGTGGGTGCCCCCCAATGAGGTGTGGGTGCCCCCAATGAGGTGTGGATGTCCCTCAATGAGGTCTGGGTGCCCCCAATGAGGTGTGGGTGTCCCCAATGAGATGTAGGTACCCCCAATGAGGTCTGGGTGCCCCCAATGAGGTGTGGGTGCCCCCAATGAGGTGTGGGTGCCCCCCAATGAGGTGTGGGTGCCCCCAATGAGGTGTGGGTGTCCCCAATGAGGTGTGGGTGCCCTCAATGAGGTGTGGATATTCCTCAATGAGATGTGGATGCCCCCAATGAGATGTGGATGCCCCCAATGAGGTGTGGGTGCCCCCCAATGAGGTGTGGCTGCCCCTCAATGAGATGTGGGTGCCCCCAATGAGGTGTGGGTACCCCCAATGAGATGTGGATACCCCCAATGAGGTGTGGGTGCCCCTCAATGAGGTGTGGGTGCCCCTCAATGAGGTGTGGGTGCCCCCAGTGAGGTGTGGGTGCCCCTCAATGAGGTGTGGGTGCCCCCCAATGAGGTGTGGGTGCCCCCAATGAGGTGTGGGTGCCCCNTGTGGGTGCCCCTCAATGAGGTGTGGGTGCCCCCCAATGAGGTGTGGGTGCCCCCAATGAGGTGTGGGTGCCCCTCAATGAGGTGTGGGTGCCCCTCAATGAGGTCTGGGTGCCCCCCAGTGAGGTGTGGATATTCCTCAATGAGGTGTGGGTGCCCCCAATGAGGTGTGGGTGCCCCCAATGAGGTGTGGGTGCCCCCAATGAGGTCTGGGTGCCCCCCTGCCCATCCTCGGGGGCACCTACAGCCCCCACCCCCAGGACTCCTCCCAGAGATGGGCACCCATGCATTTGGCACAGCACCCGTGTCCCCGTCCCCAGGAGCCTCCCTGCAGTGGGGTGAGAGCCCCCAGGACAGGGACAGGTGAAACCCCAGGGTGGGGACAGGGACATGGGCACCCATTGGGGGGTCAGAGGTCAAACAAACCTAGGGAGGGCCCCGGCTGTGAACAAAGGGGCTGCCACTGTGGTGAGTCAGCATTAACAAACCCCTTTGTTCACCTCGCTGACTGTTCCCTTCAGTTTGCTCAGTGTAATCAAATTAAATCACATTTTTAATGGTTCATTTACTGGCATTTAGAGCAGCTCCACATGTGGAACTGCTCAGACCGGCCTTCCCAGCTGGGAATTATGGCTAATAAGGCGATTAGAAAAAGTTTCTGTCTGGTCTATGAAATGATTTTCACCACAATTAAAGATCCCCAGAATGGGGTGGGGTGCAGGGATGGTGGGTGAGGCCCTTCCCTGGGAGCACCCCCTTGTCTGTCCATGGTGTCACACCCGTCCTGCTCGAGTTTAGGGGCACAAGGACATGGGCTGAGCCCTGAAACCCTTCACCCTTCACCCCACACTGCTCACCCACGACATCCAGCTGGTAGGTGTGGTTGATGCTGCCATACTTGTTCTCCACGATGCASGTGTAGTTGCCCTTATCTGATGGCACCACCGAGTCCATGATGATGCTCCAGGTGGCCTGGCGGACCTGGGGACACGGGGAGGACAGGGACAGTGACGTGCAGCCTGGGTGTTCTGCCCCCAGATCTCCCCTCTCACCGGGACAGCCTCGGGGGCTCTGCTGGGCACAGCACTGTCCCCATCCCCACGGGCACCCCACTGTCCCAGTGCCATCCCTGTCACTGCTGCTTTAGGGGAGGTGACAGAGCCAGGCTGGCTCCCCAGGGCTGAGCTGGCACAAACACGGCCCAGGAGCAGGGCACCGCCAGGGCCACTCCAAACAGGGGTGGCAGAGGGGCCCATCTGCCCCTGCTCGGCTCCTCTTCAGCCACAGAGCCCCTCCCCAATGCTCCCCCTCCCCAGTGCTCCCCATTTTCCATGATACAAACCCATAAAAAACGCAGAAATTCTGCGTCCCCAGTGCTCCCCCTCCCCAGTGCTGCCCCTCCCCAGTGCTCCCCCTCCCCAGTGCTCCCCCTCCCCAGTGCTGCCCCTCCCCAGTGCTCCCCCTCCCCAGTGCTGCCCCTCCCCAGGAGCCCTCTGGGACTCTGTGCCAAGCAGGGGCTGTTGCTGGCCCATCCCCTGTACCTTGTAGCCCCCGATGCGATGGTCAGGTTTGAACTCTTTGCCGTTTTTCAGCCAGCGCAGGGTGGGGTTGGGTGTCCCGCTCGAWGGACATTTGAATTTCACCGTTTTGGCGGCGGGGACAGCGTGGAGCTTCTTCTCCATCTTCTCAGGATAGGTCCAGTACGGAGCAATGGCCTCTGGGGAGC